GAGGCAGAGGATCATAATCTCAAGGCCAGCCCGCATAAGATAACCAAAAAAAAAAAAAAAAAAAAAAAGTTTATAAGATTAAGTCTAAACCATGCCTAGTGGCACATACCTGTGATCCCAGCCACTTGGGAGGCTGAGACGCTGAGGCAGAGGATCATAATCTCAAGGCCAGCCCGCACAACCTAGCCAGACACTATCTCAAAATAAATTTTATATATATATCTCTATATATCTATATCTATATCTATATATACATAAATTATATGTTTTATATATATTGTATATATACCATAATTATATCTATACCATATATATGTAATATAGGCCATATATAAATCATATATATATATCTATATATATATCTCCAGTCCTTTAAATAAGTATATATATGTTTATTTATTTATTTAAAGGGCTAGGTATATAGCTTAGTGACAGAGCACTCCTGAGTTCAATTTCTAGCAAGATACAGTCTTTCAGTGTTACAGTTGAACTCTCCTGATGTTATCAGTCTTTCCACTTTTACTGAGCATGAACTCATATAGGATTGAAGTAAATCCTCAACTTGTATGATCTTTGTTCTCCTTTGATCCATCCCTGTAATAGTCAGAATTTAGACTTTTTTGGGGAGAGGAGTTACTGGGGATTGAACTCAGGGGCACTCAACCACTGAGCCACATCTTCAGCCCTTTTGTGTGTGTGTGTGTGTGTATTTTATTTAGAGACAGGTCTCACTGAGTTGCTTAGTGCCTCACTATTGCTGAGACTGGCTTTGAACTTGGGATCCTACCAAACCGCTGGGATTACAGGCATGCATCATTTCCCCCAGCTTCTTTTAGAATTTTGTCCTTTGTATGGTCAACTCAGCCCTCAGCCAAGGATGCACAGGAAACTTCCACACCAACTTCTCAGTTTCCTCATCTGTACTGCCTCTTTTCTTATACTTTAACCTCTCAAAACTCCAACTGCTTCCAGCAACCCTGAACTCTTATGTCTGTCTCCACACATTAGTGAGATTGTGATGCTTTACAGGGGCTCAGCCTCCCTGTTCTGTGGTTGAGAAATTGTTTCCAGGCAGAGAGACAAGGTAGTGGTTCCTGTTCCAGAGCTAGTTCTCAGCACTAATTATGTTCACAGGAAGAACATTTCCTATAACACTGAAATAGATAGGATATAGAACATTTCCCAAGCTTGCACACAGGAACCACAGTCCAGTACACTTAGTTAGAATGTACTTTGGGGAAAGGAGGAATATACAGCTTTTAGTACCTTGCACAAAGTTTGAGTTGAGTTGATATTGATATCTAGGTGCAAAAGTGTCATTGTAGCCCCTGTTAGAATGTGTATATGATGAGGATCAGACAAGAAATGAAGTTCTAGTCTAGATAAGGCTCATATTGGGTCTATAGACATCTCCACCCCACCACACATACATCTGTGTTAATTGTTTCACTAATCTCTGAATTTAAAATGAAATGACAAATTCCAGATTTGGAGTAATCCTACATTGATCTTTTTGGCCAGAGTTAAGAGTTAATACACTGGAGAAAACCAAATGGTAGTTGCTGCCCTTTTTCCAGCCAAAAGAACAACAACAACAATAACAAATTAATCCCAGCAGGAGTGTGGAAAGGTTAATGCAACTTTAAAAGTAAAAGAATGCATCCCCCTCCTTTACCTCACCAACCTGGACCCTGTTTAAAAAAAAAAAAGAAAAGAAAGAAAAGAAAAGAAAAAGATTCCAGGGAGTGACAGTTAACCAACAAAAACTCAGCAAAATAGTAGTCCCAGTTGGAGCCATGATGCCAGATATGGTATATTTTCTAAAACAGATTAATATGACTATAATATAATATAATATGACTATAATATACATTGATCTGATAAGTGCATTCTTATACATCCTTTTCGAAAGGAAAAACAGAAATGATTCATATTAGCATAAGACAGACAAAAGTTTACATTTCTGGTTGTTTCCCAAGGTCCATGTCAGCTATCCTGCCCTCTATTACATTATAGTCAGAAGGGATATAAGCTAGCAGGCATTTCTAATATTGGATGATAAATTATACAGACCACAGGAGCAAAATGTACTATGTTGGAAGTTTTGGTAAAATGTATTTGCTACAGAAGGAAGGAAGTATATCCCAGTGAAGATTCAAGTGCCAGCCATGCAAGTGAAGGTTTTAGATATGTACAGTTATCTGGGACATGACAGACCTTCTCTAAAGTAAAGATGAAATTACTGCATACTTTTATTAAAAAGAAAGTGGAGACTTTCATGTCTGTAATTCCAGCAACTTGGGAGGCTGAGACAGGAGGATCACAAGTTCTAAGCCAGCCTCAGCAAGTTAGAGAGACCCTGTCTCAAAATTTAAAAACCAAAAGATGGATAAATGTCTGGGAATATGGCTCAGTGGTAAAGTGCCCCTGAGTTAAATCCTCATTAACCACCACCACCACCACCCCCCAAAAAAGAAAAAAAGAAATGATCCTAGATTCTTTTTAAAATGTGAAAGTTCTTTTTGACTTTTAAGTCTTTATGCTTACTGAAATTGATTTTTGTACAATATGTGAAGTAGAAACCCAATTTTATTTTATTTTCCCATTAGATATCCAAATCACAATAGTATTTGTCAAGTTAACACCTTCTTTCCACAATGATTCTGAATGCCATTCCTTATTTATTGAGCATCTGTACACACGTTTGTTTTTCAGTCCCCAATTCTGTTTAAATTATCTAGTTACTATCCTTGTGCTACTACACTGTTTTAACTGTTATACATTTATAATAAATCTTTACATGTGCCCGGCACAGGGGGCTAGAGAGGCTGAGGCAGGAGGATTGCAAATTCAAAGTCAGCCTCAGCAAAAGTGAGATGCTAAGCAACTCAGTGAGACCCTGTCTCTAAATAAAGTACAAAATAGGGCTGGGGATGTGGCTCAGTGGCCTAATGCCCCTGAGTTCAATTCCTGGTACAGCCCCCACACCCCAAAATCTTAACATATCCAGTAGAGACAGTTTCTGCACCTCCTTCATTCACTGAAAAAAAAATTTTCTTTGATCTTCTTCACTCTCTCATTATTCCATAGAAATTTTAAATAGGCCAAGTTCCACAGAACACACTATTGGGATTTTTATTGGCTTTGCATTGAATTTATGTATTATTTTAGGAAGAAATAACATTGTCATATATTTAGTTCGCATATACATAGATACGGTATGTATCTCAATTGTTTATCCCTAATAAATAAAGCTTTATAATGTTTCCATTAAAGCAATTTTTTTTTGTATTTCTTTGATTCTGTAATTGTTGCCTTTTAAAAATCACTTTTCCTAACTTGTGCTGGTGATGGGAAATGCAATTATGAATGTCGATTTTTTAAAAATTTAACTTTTGCCAAACCCTTGTATTAATCCCTGTAATTTAAGTGCTAGATTACCTTGAATTTTCTAGGCAAACCATTTGGCATGCTCCTTAAAACTGTTAAGTATTTATAATTAATATTTTAATTAATGCAAACAGCTCTTAAAAATACATTTAATAAAGCTATGGTAACACTCTTCCTCACACCCTTTCCCCTTTTCACAGTTTCTAGCTTTCACCTCTCACAGGTAACCACTATTATTAATTTTCTTACGAATTTTCTTATAATTTTTTGTGACCATAAAAGCAAATATAATTTAAATTCTTTTTACTCTCTTCTATTCCCAAACGTGGCAAATTATATACAGAGTTCGGCGCGTGATTTTTTTTCCTTTGTTATGGACGGGAAATGTTTTGAAGTCTCTTTAACAGCAAGAAGGGAAGAGAGGAGTGGCGAAGAGGAGGGGAGCTAGCAAACGACTGAGCGTCAGTCCGGGAGGTGGCTAGAGAGGCCCGGAAGTGGCCTCTCGGCCCCTCTATGCCCCGCCCTGCGGGTGGTTTGCTAGTTTCGGACACTTTTGTGAGTATGGGGTGAAAGGGAGGCATCCATATGGCGCCCACTTTCTTGTGTGGGTTTAGTTCACCCGTGGCTGTCCTGCCAGTCCTGCCCTTCTTTTGTCCCCGAGTAGGGACAGAGGAGTCCTTTCCTGGCAGTGCCTTTGCAGTCTGCGGAGAGGGAGACCCTGGGGGAGGCCTTGGCAGGGGCGGGGAGGGCGCTTCTTGGCCCTAAGAACTGGTGTCGGGAGTGCTTACACCAGGCGCATTGTGATTCCCTTAACCAGTGCCTTTTCCGGGTGTCTGGGTGGCCCCTTAGAGTGTCTGGAAATAGGATTCGTGGGTCACACAGACAACACAAGCATTGAAAAAACAGGAACCGTTAAATTTTTACTCGTCCTGGAGACAAGGTCAGTTCTTTAAATTATTATGTCACCGAAGGAGAGTCAGGACTTTGGAGTTGTATTGCCTGGTTGGATCCCACCCCTACCACTTATTAGCTGTGTGATTTGGGACCAGTCCCTTAACCTCTCTGTACCTTATTTTACTGCTTCGTAAAATGGGGATTGATATCACCTAACTCACTGGGTCAATGTGAAGATTAAGTGATCTAATATGGGTAGGATGCTTTTTAAAGTACCAGGTACAGAGTAACCACAATGTAAAGATTGGCTGCTGTTATTTGTTATTTCTAATGACAGCAGCACATTGTCTTCAGTGAGTAGTGTTAATGACTGGCTTTTGTTACTGTTTTTTCTTTCTTTTTTGAATTTTGGTGTCATTTACCAGTTCTGTTTGTAATGGATGATTTCTGTATTTTAGGAAGGAAAAAATAAGATACTCTGAATATTCTATCCCAAAGCGAAAACTCAAAGTGGTTTGGTTTGTGTGTTGTGATGTCCCAGGGACAAGCTCTCTTATTTATTTTGCAAAGGAGAAAGGAAGTGTTGTGGAAGAAGGCAGTTTATTTTACTTAAGGGGATTGAAAAAGAGTCCAGAAAGGAGAGGACATGTAAGTTGGGCTTCTGGGCTTGAGTGCTGTTTACTCTGAAGATACATGGCAGCATGTAGGAAATACTTATTAAGAGCATAGTTAAGTTTGGTAGGGTAGCTGTTGAGCTCTTGCAAATTCAGGGTATCTTTATGCCTTTTTAAAAAATAGATTCCTCTGTTGAATGTACATAGTCTGGAAGACACAAGTATCTGAGCCCTATCGGAGCTCCCACTGGCCCCTTTGGCTGAGTGGTCTGAACAATGACACCTACATGACCATTCAATATAGTCCCTTAGTTCATTTGTGGAGAGAGGGTCACCAGTTGGTTGTGATCAGAAATAGGTGCTTATCTGGAATTAAAGCATTAGTGATTTTAGGCAGGAGAAGGCCTTGGTTAGGTATTTTAGAGCACACTCTCTGGTGGCAGCCTGAAAGATGTAGGAAGCTGGGTGGGTTAAAAGTACTTAATTAGGCTAGAGACAAAAATGAGGACCTGAGCCATGCTGATAGCAGGGAGAATAGATTGAGAGACATTCTAGGGGTAGAATAGATTGGAACAAGTGATCCTTGTAGCAACTAGAGGTAATCAAATGATTCTAAAGAAGCCTAGTGACTAGTTGCTGCTGTACTAGGGAATATTTTACTGGAGAAAGAATAGATGAGGCAGCAAGAAAATCAGCCTGGGTCAGGGCATACTGAGTTGTGTTTGTTTGCAAAATTTCCAGGTAGAAGTGTCTGGGAGGCAGCTCAAGATAGAAATCAAGATTTGTAGAGGAAGGGGGGTAACTAGGTGACTGAACCTAGGTTATATTCTCAGAGCTCTACCACTGAGCTATACCTTCAGTTCCTTTTTAAAAATGTGTAGTTTACTAAGATCACCTACACACACAGAAATGTGTAGTTTACTAAGATCACCTAACTAGTAGGCGGTCAAATCGGTTTATGAACTCAGGAAACGTAGCTTGAAAGTGTGCATCTAACCAGACTGTAATAGAACTCTGGGAAGAGACAGGAAGGATGAAAGCAGGACAGAATTCAGGTCCCTGAATCCAGGGAAAGTGAGTTTCTGGAAGTAGATACCAGCATCAGCCTGGTTGATTTAGAAAAAGCCATGAAAAATGGAAACAGAAGGAAGTATCCCTGGTTACTTCTGCAGGAGAAATTTTAATGGCTTTCTTCCTGGTTTTCTGTGTACAGTGTGTTGAAGGCTAAGTGGGAGCTTAGGACCAGAGTCCAAGTCTGGAAGACTTTCTTTTAAGAAGTTTGGACTTGAAGGGGAGTAAAGAGTGGCAGATTAAAGGAGTGGCAAGGATCGGGGCAGCCACTGCTCTGTTCAGGGCAAAAGCTTGGTGATATTCTTTGATATTTCTTAGAGAAACAGAAGATCCTCCAGTGCAAAGTTCAAAGAAGTCTGGGGGAATTTTTTTTTTTTCACCAAGATGAACCCAGGGGCACTTTACCACTGAACCACATCCCCAGCCCTTTTTATATTATATTTAGAAACAGGGTTTCACTGAGTTTCTTAGGGCCTTGCTAAGTTGCTGAGGCTGGCTTTGAACTGGAGATCCTCCTGCCTCAGCTTCCTGAGCCACTGAAATTGTAGGTGTATGCCACTGTGCCCATGGTCTGGGGAAATTCAACTTTCTCATCTGAATGTAAGTTAATTTTCTACCAGTTGTTTGTATGAGCCTCACAATCAGAGAAAAAAATTCAGTTTTATTTCTTTTGCCACAGGGCCTGCCATCTTTTCTTTCTCCTCCTAAATGTAGCTCCTTGACCACAGGGACCTAGTATTTATTTCCTATTGCTACACAGCAATTTGCCAGATATTTATAACTTAAAACTTATTATTCCCAGTTCTGTAGGTCAGAAGGCCAGGGAGGCTCAACTGAGTTGTCTGTTTAGGGTCTTCCAAAGTCAAGATGTTGGTAGAGCTGAGCTCTTATTTAGAGGCCACTTAAAAGCTCATTAAGGTTATTGGTAGAATTAAGTTCCTCCTGATTAGTCTGGTAAATCTGAGATGATATCTCATCATACTCAAAGTCCTGGGAATTAGAACAGCTAATCCTTAGGGTCATCTTAAAATTCAGTCAACCACAGACCTGGTTGCTAATGGGATCATTCTGAGCTAATCACTGAGAGAAGCTTCCTAGAGTCCAAAGTAGCCTGCTCTTTGCTGAAAGTTGGTTGCACCAGCATCAGTTTAAATCTGGATTAGTGAGTGCCTTGGAGGGTGTCCACATCCATTCCAAGGACATCCTTTGAGGATCTTAATGTGGGGTTCAGGTTTGGAGTGGTTCAGAGGATGTAGCTGCAGAGGCACTTGAACCTAGGAAATCTCTGCAACTGCTCCTTGGCAACATCCCCAGGCACCTGAGCATGAGAGGAGGGCACTCTTAGCAAATTGAGTAACTAATAATCATTTTCACCTTACAGGAATTTCCAAAAGTACAGCTTGCAACTACAGTGAGGCCCATATTGCCTTGGCTAAGAATGGCTAGAGAGTCGAGGGAAAGCATAGCCCTGGATGACCACTCTGCAGACGACCAGATGGGGCTTCTGGTCATAAAGGTGGAGGAGGAAGAGGCTTCTGCCTTTGCAGAGGAAGCCAGTTTGCCCTGCAGCCCCCACCAGGGCAAGGAACACTGCCGCCAGCGCTTTCGTGCTTTCTGCTACCCAGAGACAGCAGGACCCAAAGAGGTGCTGAGCCAGCTCCGAGAGCTCTGCCGACAGTGGCTGAGGCCTGAGATGCACAGCAAAGAGCAAATCCTGGAGCTACTGGTGCTGGAGCAGTTCCTGACCATCCTGCCCAGGGAACTGCAGAATTGGGTGCGAAAGCAGCATCCAGAGAGTGGGGAGGAGGTGGTGGTACTGTTGGAGTATTTGGAAAAGCATCTGGATGAGCCCACACTGCAGGTAGAAAGAACAGGTTTAGTATCTGAGAGTTATAGTCTGTTCCTTCCTGAAGATCAGAGTGAGGAGCATTCCTTTAAGATCAGGAGTTCTGTAACTTTTTGTACTGTGAACCAGTTTAGCAATATTCTGGACCCCTTCTCAGAATATAAAGGAAAATATAAAGGAATACAAAACAACTCCATTGTATTGATAAACATTTAGCAAAGTATTAAATTTGTGATGAAGCTGTATATATGCCTTTTTAAAAAATTAATGCACTAAGTTAATAAGACCTAAGGACGGGGCTTGAAGATTTTTCTGCCGGGAAAAATCTGCAATTTCTGTTGAGGACAATCTTGCAACTACTTATACCACATTGGTTTGTTGCTTTCATTTACAATTCAAGTAAATACTACATTTTTCTTAGAGATTCATAAAAATAAATAAATAAGATTAATTTTTTTCCTGTCCAAATTCATAGACCATTTGGGATGGAATCCATAGACCTTTGCTTTTGAACCTCTGGTAGAAAATGGGTTCTTACCTCCATCTTCTGGCTTGTTTTATGAGGCTGTTTCATTTTTGCATTATCCAAGTCCTTGTACACATTCCTTCAGAGAACATTTGGCCAGAGCCTTTTAACCAGTGACTAGGAGACCAAAGTTCTTGACTTGGATCTATTGCACTGAGCTCTATAACAGAAAGTCATTTCAAGTCTCTTAACTTATTTATAAAGGATGTGGGAATTTCTGAGTTACACAAAGAAAGTGACTTGGAAAATATAATTTAAAAAATTTTTTATAGTTGTAGATGAACACAATACCTTTTACTTTATTTTTATGCAGTGCTAAGAATCGAACCGAGTGCTTCACACGTGATAGGCAGTTGCTCTAGCACTGAACCACGAACCCAGCCCAGAAATTAGCCAGCCAGATCCTGTGTTGGTTGATTTCACATACTGTAATCTTACTTGTTCCAAAAATTCTTCAAGCTAAAAATTATTAGACTCATTTTTTCAGATAAATAGTTTGGTTTTTTTTTAGAATTTCTCACCAGTTTCCAAAGTGCTTTCATAAACGCACAAATGTATATAATGAGGGGACATAGATTTAAGAACATGACTCTGGTGCCATTCTGCCTGAACTCCCATCTTAGCACTTATTAGTCACTTATTAGCCAATGACAATGGGCAAACTGCTTAACCTGTCTCAGTTTCCTCATAAATAAAATGAGGATAAATAATAGTATGTCCCTTTTAAGGCAGTTGTTATTTTATAGTACTTTTATATACAGTGCCAGGCTTATAAAAAGTGCTATAGAAGTATTTGATGAATAAATGAAAATAAAAACAAATGAATGACTTCTAGGTCCCAGGTGGTGACCAGGGGCAAGAATTGCTCTGTTGCAAGGTGGCACTGTGGACACCAACCCTAGAGTCACAAAATAGCCAATTTCCACCAGTGAAGACTCTGCTCAAATGTGAATCTTTGCAATGCCAGCCCTTACAAGATAGAGGTGAGTATTATCTTCTGGCCTGTATGAATTCTACAGATCTCATCCAGTTTCACTGAAGGTTCACCTAGAAGATCCATTTACATGTTCGTCCTTGATCAATCCTATTTTGAGACTAAGACTAAAAGGGAAATTGCAAACACAATTGTGGAAATCTTTCCAAGTCTCAGCATCATGAATAAGATTTTACTAAAATTTGGGTATGGAAAGAATTTTCTCTAAATACATTTAATGTGAATTACAGAAAACTCTTATGTTGTAGCCAATGTTGTTGGCACTGGGGATATAGCCATCAGTGAGACAAACATTGCGCCAATGGAGTTTCCATTCTATTGTAGAATATGGCAAATATACAATTAATAAAACAATTTAGTAGTAAGTCCTGCGAAGAAAATAAACAAATCTATAGCGCCAGCCAAAATATCCCAGTTTAAAGACTATTACAAATTAAAGGCTCTAAATTTTCTAAACCCTGGGTCTGCTATTTAAAAAAAAAAAAAAAAAACCATGAAATTTACTCCAGAGGAAACAAATATATGCTGTCTGGTGTTCTCTCAAGTTCCCTGAACGTGTGTAGGTTCTTGTGATACATGACACTGGGACACATCAGACAATGTGCAATCTTTATTTCTCAACAGAGGTTCTAGCCTAAACCAACTGCTTTTCCCCCTTTTACTGTTTGCCTCCTATAAGGAAACCTGAAGTTCTTTTTCATGTTCTGTCTCTTGAACCAGAGTCCCATTTCTGCTTTTCTGGGTCTAACCTTATTTGACGACTCTTAGTTTTTCAAAACCAAAGCAGAATTCACTCTCACAGCTACTAATCAAAAATCCCATTGTTTTTCCCCTCCCTAACAAAATTCAAAGGATCCTCCAATGGAAAGCTTGTGTATGTGTGTTTGGTTGGGGGGGGGGTTGTTGTTCCTTTCATTTTACTATTCCTTACAAGGGTCCTTTTTGCATGCTTTTTTTTTTTAAATGTCTACAGAGCACACCAGATGTCTTTAGCCCTAGAATTGGAGCTGTTGGGATCAGGCACTTTGGAAAAGTATATGCTTTGTATAAACTTGTTTGGCAGAAATTTATTAATCCAGGTTTTGAACTTGGATTTCACAAGGCAGAAAGTCTGACTGCCAAGGTAGATCTAATCCAGAGTATCTTTCCTTCTTAGTTGCCCAGGGAGACAGCTGCAGAGAAGACACCATGTTAGCTGCCAGGCTCACTCTAGAGTCCCGGGTGAGCTAGAGCCCCTCATCTTTCCCCAGTCCCTTTTACTATTGTACTTCGTAGGGCATTCCCTCCCTATGTACCTCACTAATGTCCTGACCCTAAATGCTCCACTCATATCCTAGGTGGGATATGAATTAGTGACTTGGGGAGTTGTCTATGCTTCCTAGATGTTCCCTACTGCGTTTGATCAATCACTTCTGTTGCTATAGGGGATGCTGAAAACAGAAGATGTAGACTTGACTCTGACCCCTGAGTGGACACAGGTGAATTCATCTCAGGTGAATCTCTACAGACATGAAAGGCAGGAAAACTGTGACAGCCTGATCTCCCTGGGTAAGACTAACTTCTCCCAAGGTTCCTTGGCATCTTTTGTGTATCAGAAAACCTGTAATTCTGTTAGGTTGGTAGAAGCTATTGATCTCATTATGTTTGGATTCAAAACCACCATTTGAAACCCTATTACTACACTTAACTTATGTTTTTTTTTTTTTTTTTTTTTT